TTTCTTTTGTCCATCTTCTTCGAGGATCATTACTGTTATATTGATTCGTAGTATTATATTGCGTGGAAGTCGCATATACATCAATATAGGATGAGGTATTATCATTCCTCTTTTTGTAGTTATTCCTAGGTTGATGATGATAAGGTTTGTTTGCTTTTTCTTTAGCAAGATCATCTTCAATCCTAGTAGCCACAAAATAGACCTTTTGAAAAGTGTATAAACCAAGTTAACGTAGATGTTTGTTGTACTTTTCATGACAATTGTCAATGAATTTTTGTACTAATTCGAGTTCAGGTGGCCTTTAGGCAAGGTGAGCCGCCTTTTCTCGCCATCTACCATAGAAAGCAAGGAAACCTTCATTGTCGCCTTGCTTAAGCATTTCGAGTTCACGTAGAGTCGATTTGAACTCTACGTTACTCTCATATTGGGTAATGAAAGCCAAAACTACATCTTCCCATGTTGTTTTGAGTTTTGGATCTAGCCCATAGTACCATTCTCTCATGGTTGGGTCTAGAGATAAACGGAAAGTCAAAGCATAAAGCTTAGGATCAACTCCCTTTAACACCATGGTGCCAGTAAAACACATTAAATGGTTTTGTGGATTATTGGTTACCTTAAATATTGGCAAGTCCGTAGCTACGAACTTTTCTGGTAAAGCAAGTCTTGCGGGAGGAGCAAACTTTTCTCTGCCGAAGTACTTGTTCCCCATTGTAGAACTAAGAACAAGCTTCTCCAACGACTTTTCTATGATGGATAATTGTTCCATATTTTGTTGCAAGGTTAGAGTCTCGGCATTTTTCTTTTCAGCCTTTTAAAGTTTCTTAATTCTTCTTTCCTCGGCCTCTTGAGCCTTTTCTTCTCTCAAGCGAGCAATCTCTTCTTGAAGTTTCTCAATGTTCAACATTGTTGTTGGACTAGACTAATTGTCGAGGGAAGGTGGTTTGAAAGGGGTGGATCGTTTGATGGTAAACGTAGAATGCGAGTGCCCGGGAGTCTTCGTTCCCTAAAAGAAGTATGAAAGGATAAGTAAATCGATACGCTTGTTTAGAAAAAAGAAGAGGAAAGAACGCAAGTTATATTCTAACAGATAACATCACCTTTAAACAATTCTTTAATGAAGATATTGATTGAACGAGCCAATTTGTTTTTCAAAAAAAATCAAATGGCTCGTAAAAGTAGGCGTGCGCATCCGAATTCCTTGCACTGGATGGGGTCGCCCAACTCACTGAGTTGTGCGCGCCACTTGCTCGTAATATTTTTTTTTTAATTCGAGCGTTTTTTTTATTTTCTATCATTTTTTTTATTTTTTTTATGTTACCCTTTGAATATGACTCAAAATTACGAAGAGACAACTTCGTAATTAGGAACCTAAACCAAACTAAAGAAAAAAAAAAAGAGAGAAAGCTGTCCTAAAACGTCGCGTATAGTCACGTAATCACATAAGCATACCATAAGCCAAGATACACACAAGGCCATTCTAAGGTCAAAGGCTTGGGTGTCCAAAGGTACCACATCTTAAGAAACGATGCTCAAATCAATCACTCAACGTGTTGACTCACGACATCGCTCTCCCAACATTTTGTTGGTGATATGGATGCATGGGATGATTGTTATTGATTTCGAGATAGAAGCCTAGTGATGGCAACCCCTAGTCAATGAGCCAATCCCCAAAAAGGTTAAAGTGTGATATGATTATGCATGATGCAATGTTGCTTGTTTGGTTTTTACTTTTGTGCAAAAGGAAGATATTATGTGTTCAAGTCTCGCTCTCTAACTAGAGATTATCCAAGTTCATTCTCGTTACAACCCATAGGCAACCTAGTGTTGGAAACCTTGGACCATAACTAAGAATTAATCTTGTAACCTCTAAGTCCCCAGTGGAGTCGCCAATGTAAGGAGGGTGTTCCCATCGTAAGGAATCCTTCCTTAGATGCCCATGGCCCTTTAAAAGCCTAGGACTTTACACTTGTTACGGTGTATTAGGATTTGAATTCCAAACTATTTTGGGACCTTAAATTAGAATTGATTCTATCATTACGCTTTTTTATAAGAAACATGTAGGAGTCGCCAATGATTTTTGGGAAAACTCATAAATCTTGTTCATGCCTTTCTCCCATGTGGATTTCATGGGATAATTAGCACAAATCATAAGTTTACCCATGCCCAAATCGGTCTACATAAACCAGAAATGAGTTTGGGAGCGAGGGTACTTAGATAATGTTTCCTTTAAAGGAGAATCGCTATTCTAGCCCTAGTGCGGCTTCTACTAGCTCTTCCTTTTTCACAATTTCATCACCAAACAATATATACAATGCGATACCTAAAACTAAGTTAGTTAATTTTTATTTACAAGCATTAATCACGTAGGAATTACATTGCAAAGTCGTTATTCTTTATTTAATTCAAATTCGTGAAAAGGAGCAAAAGTAAACAAGATTCGCCTTGGCTTAAGTGACTAATCAATTAATTAATTATTCAATTCTAATCTTATTTAATGCAAGATACTATGTGGAATTGATTAATTAAATGTCCTTTTAAAGTGGTCAGACAACACTATTTTATAGATTAAGGTTCTTTTAAACAAGAAAGTAAATGTTATTTATCTAAGTGCTCGGGAATTTACCACTTCTCTTTGCTAGATCTCCGTTTAGAAAACTTATGGACTCCTTCTTGTTCGGGAACCTCCACCGTAGTAACAAAGATTAAGAGGGGTGAGTGTTTAGATAAGAGGGTTTGGTAGCACAAGTTCACAAGAGTTTCTTATAGAGTTTTAGGTTAATTTCTTTGTGTTTAAGCCTCGTATTAAGCCCCTACTTATAGGGAATGGATGTAATTAGGGTTTTAAGCATTCTGCCGCAGCAGGTGTCGTGCGCATCTGGATCAGCTGCGCCGGGCATTCCAAGGCAAGTAATTTAGTTGCGCTGCTACAGGCAGCACAACTGGATGTCTGAATCTTCCGCAAGAGCATCACTAGTAGTTGCGATGGATTTTGCGCATAACTGAATTATTTGCTCGCGCCAGACCAGCGCGACTCATTGAGATGCGCGCGGCTTTTTCAGCGGCAACATTAAATTTAACGTAGGCGCCTCTAAATCTGTCCTTATTGGGTCTTAAGCACGGGCTTAATCCTAATTATGATGATGTTTAGTTAATTGGACCTTGTTTGTATTTGTTTTTGGGTTAGGCTAGTCTTTTTGTTTCTTTGCGGTTTAGCAAGTCATCCATAAGTAATCTTTACTTCGATCCAACACGAAGATGGTTTTATTTATCGTCATTGCACTTCCTGTTGGGACAGGAGGCCAAAAGTAGATGTCTACAAAGTGTTCCCTTTTGCTAATCCGGATGATGTGAATATTGTATCTCCATCTTATGATAATGGAGAAGTACATGACGATTTTTTTGGTTATGAGGTATTTGAGGATGATGTGAATTTTAATGGTGGTGGAGTATTTTTTATGATGTTCATATGTTTGACAAAGAGCACCAGCCTGGCAGCACACACCACGAATCACTCGTGACTGCCACCGAGGGCCGTGACCAAGCAGACCCTGCTTCCCAGCCAGGGTAGCTGCAACAGAGCAGTCCACCCACGGCCAAGTAGAGGGCTCCGTAGGCTCCCTACGGTAGTCTTCCACAGATCGCATGGGGCCTGCGGCAGGGCCTAAATTACAGCCCACAATAGCCAGCACCGCAGCCACCCCGTGCCACACGGCCAAAGACCGCAGGGGGGCGGAGAGCATTGTTTTACAGCAACAATAGTCCAGAACAGGGCAGCATACCGAGCAAGAGGCCTTGGGTAAAGGTTATCGAGAGAAATTTCCTTCGGTGAAGCTCCGTGATTTTGTAACTCACTCCGTTTTTGCTAATAATCCGTCTCCGTCCTCTCCGTCATCCAACACTCCTTCAGGTACTCCTTATCCTTTGGCACACTATATAAATTGTTACATGTTTTATGTGAATTCTCGTAAATTCCTTGAAGCTGTTGTTCAAGAAAAGGAACCGAAATCCTTTAAAGAGGCCATGATATCTAAAGGTTGGCGCCGTTCTATGAAAGAGGAAATACAGGCATTTAAAGACAATGGGATTTGGACATTAGAGCATCTTCCTCCCTGGAAGAAGGCTCTAGGTAGTCAATGGGTGTACAAGACAAAGTTTTTGTCTAATGGCGGCGATATTTAACGTATCAAGTCTCGGTTGGTTGTCTTTAGTAATCATCAGCAAGAGGGTATTGATTATGGTGAGACTTTTGCTCCGGTTGCAAAAATGACTACAGTGCGTAAAATTTGGAACTTCAGCAAATTGATGTCCATAATGCCTTTTTACATGGTGATTTGGATGAGGAGGTATACATGAAATTACCTCTTGGTTTTGAGAGCTCGGATCCGAGCTTGGTTTGTCATTTGAGAAAATATTTGTATGAGTTAAAACAAGCTCCAAGGTGTTGGTTTGCAAAATTGAATGCGGCTCTGAAAGGGTATGGTTTTCTACAATCTTACTCTGATTACTCTCTTTTTACATACACTAAAGGCAATGTTCATATTAATGTCTTAGTCTATGTTGATGATCTTATCAAATCTGGGAATGATTCCGCTACATTGGTTGTATTAAAGGCTTATCTTTGTGATTGTTTTAAGATGAAGGATCTTGGTCCTTTGAAGTATTTATTGAAGATTGAGGTGACTCGTAGTAAATCAGGTTTGTTTTTATGTCAACGAAAATACACCTTGGATATTATTTCTGAAGCAGAGTTATTAGGAGCAAAGCCAAGTGACTTTCCGATCGAGCAAAATCACTAGCTTAGCCTTGCTAGTGGTGAATTGCTTGCGCACCCTGAGCCTTATCACAGATTACAATATTACAAAGGTTACTCTTACCATATTGGATTACACGATTAGTGTTATAATGGTGAATTTGTTCTTTTACAAGCGGCTATATGGTGTTAGCTAGTAGCGCACAAAATGCTATACCAATCACAATAACGTAACGAAATAAAAATATAATTATTATGTACGTTATCACAAGTATAATTTGCTATTAGTTATTTACGAAATGCACTAATCCTTTTAATGTTGGAAAGCATTAGAATACTTTAATCTCGGTTCTTCAGCAAAAGAAAAAATAAAAAATAAGCACACTTCTACATACATAAATTCACTATCGATTAAAGTATAACTTACAATAATTATTGTTCAATTCCATACGATAAAAAATTATTTATCTATTTACACACCCATTGATAATAAATGGAAATACCAAAGATTTGTTAAGAGATCAGCTCCTCCACAAAAGTTGGATCATTGATCACAAGCCTTCCAAAGATGGACAACATGCACCACATAAGATATAGCACATGTTAGGGAACGAAAAGTAAGAAAAAAAACTCAAAAAATTAGTGCTTTCGGTATCGTATATCCTTACGTTTAATACTCATCTATATACCTATAATAAATTAGAGTTTATTTTGGAAGAAATTTTACCTCCTAAACTATATGTTTATTTATTTATTTATTAATTTTTTAATCATTCATTTACCTCAGATTTTTATTACTTATCCATATTTTAATAAGAAAAATTGGTAAAAATAATCTCAATTTTTGTCCATTCGTTCAAAATAATTTTAATTAATAAAAATTAAACTTTTAATAAAAAAACATTCTCGTCAACAAAATGAAAAAAAGTATTAAAGAGAACCAATAAGAATATGATTTACTCATAGTAATATAATTTCAGTGTAGTAATATATTTTCAGTTCAATATAAATAATATAAGTTTAGTAAAAATAATTTCAATTGGTTTCTAAAAAAAAAAAAAAAAATCACTTCAGCAAAAATAAGGTAAAAGAGCAAGACCTAATCTTTTTTCTAGAACAAATTAAGGAAAGGCATAAATACATACCTTATTCGCTGTTTTCTCACTAAACCTTCTTAGATATCTTCTTCTACAAGTTCCATCTCTACATAAAGCATTAAAGAGTTGAACTGTTAGTAAATTTTTTTTTAACTCCCTTCATGTTTTAATAAGTGTTACAGTTTAACCAAACACGCATATTGAGACACTACTTTGACTATTAATTTATCTAATTATATATATGTTAGTAAAATCATACGAAATTCACATGTAAATATACATTATAACAAATCCAACAATATATATATATATTTTTTTTGACAACAGCACAAGAGACAAGAAAACTAAGTAACAAAGCTAGAAAAATTAACTCTACACCCATTAGCAATCAAGTGTGCCCTATGCACTTGGTCTCTACTCACCTTCCAAACCACACAAAAATCTAAACCATTTGCCTCCCTTTTGATATCTCGAATGGTCCATAGAATGTTGATGTCAGGATGTTATTGGTTATCAAGGATGCTAACCAGAATCGCAGAGTCCGAGAAGAGCACTATTTTCCCCCAGGTTTTAGTCTTAGCCCATCTAATGGTCATGAGACAAGCTAGGGCCTCCGCATGAAGAGCTGAGTTTGCTTTACAGTAGTGTCCTCCTCCTTCCTGAAATTGGCCATATGTATTAATAAAACCCCAACCCATGCCTGCGGTTCCCGTAGCCTTCTGCCACGAACCATCTAGAAGAATCGTCATTCCCTGAGAACATACCCCATGTGCCTGGAGTTTGAAAACCTCCCTCCCTAGCGAAGCGTAGTGAAAACCTGGTGGTTTAGGGCCACAGGCATCGTTCTGATGATTGATTGCCTTGCTTCTAAAGATCTTTAGGTCTTCCCTTGCTTTATCAAAATGCCGTTGAAGATTGGCCCTATCACCATCATCTGCTCTAAAGACCTTTCCGTTCCTATTAAGCCAAAGGCACCATAAAATTATTATGAAACTGAAAATTCTGTCACTATGAATGCCATCCTCGCTATAAAAGAGCAGGATATATCTCTGAATCCATTGTCGTATTGGACTGGATTCAGCAAATTCCAAATTTGAGCTGAAGCTGCTGTTCGCCCATGCATACTAAGCCATGTTGCACGTCTGAAACACATGGTGAATCCCCTCTACTCTCTCCCCACACAAGTCACAACTCACCTTTATGGAAATCCCCCTATGGTGCAAGTTAGCCTTTGTTGCAATTCCATTCATAATCACCTTCCATATGAACATGCTCCATTTTGGGGGAATATGAAGGCGCCATAAAACCTTACAAAAAGTCGGGGAGAGCCTGCTGTCAGTTACAGCTGCTTTTGTTCCCTGAAGGAAAGCATACCCCGTCTTAGTAGTGTATTTGCCTGATTTGTGGTGAGTCCAATATAAGATGTCTTCATCTTGAGCTTCTGATAATTCTAGGTTCAGGATCTCTTGAGCACTATCCCAATCAAAGTAATTTCTCACTCCTTGGATATCCCACCTCTTAGGTTCATGAAGGATCAGATCACTCACCAAGCCCGATCCTATACCTCTTAAAGGCTGACTGGAGGCAATCACAGGCACTTTCCCATTTACCCATTTCGTATTTGCCGACTTTATTGTGTCCCCTGAACCCACCTTCCAAGCAAAGCCCTCCAACAAGGTACCAGTGACTCTTTGTAGACCCCTCTTACCCCATGAGACATTACCCCTTACCCTATCAGTCAATTTTCCTGTATTCAGAGGGTTCGTTTCCCTTTTGTATAAGACTTTAGAAGCCAATAGTTGGGGATTGTAGTGCATTCTTTGAACCTGTCGAAATAACATTGCATCATTTAACGTGCTTGCAGGTCTGATACCCAAACCACCCAATCCCTTTGGTAGGTGAATGATATCCTTCTTGACCCAATGCATGCCCTTTTCCCCTTTCGAGGCCCAGAAAAATCTAGTAATCATGGAGTCTATTGTATTGACGATGGAAGTTGGCAGCTTGAAGCATTTCATTACGTGAGATGAAATACTGATGAGGACTGTGTTGATAAGGATCAACTTTGCTGATTGGGACAAATTCAACGAGCTCCACCCCATAATTTTTGTAGCCACTTTATCCACTAGATAACGGAAAGAGTCAGCTTTTTTATGTGCTAAATTAATTGGGGCTCCCAGATGAGTCCCTAAATTATCCTTGCATTCCATCCTTAAGATGGCTTTAAAACTGTTCCTGTCTTGCTCCGATGTAGACATGCTGAACTTGATGAAGGAATTATTAAGATTTAACTGCTGCCCTGACACTTTTTCAAACCTAGCCAGAAGACTTGCGATCTAGTCACAGGAGTTGTTAGTAGCTTTGAAGAAAATGATGGCATCATCTGCAAAAAATAGATGAGAAATAGAAGGAGATCTTCTTGAAACCTTGATCCCCTGAAATAGCTGTATGTCTTCTGCTAAAATGAGCATTCGCAATAAAACATCCATGCAAAAAATAAACAGATAAGGAGATAGCGGATCCCCCTGACGTAACCCACAATCCGGCTTGAAGGAGTCTGCCACCCTGCCATTTACTAAAGTCTTGTAAGAAACTGTGGTGATGCATTGTTCCACCCAATGAACCCATTTCTCCGGGAATCCATAAGCCCTTAGGATTTTGAGGATAAAAGTCCAGTTTACCCGATCGTAAGCTTTTGACATATCAATCTTTAGTGCCGCCATCGGAGCTTTATGATTATTGCTGTTGATGACATGGGTTAATTCGTGACTAAGGAGAATGTTGTCCTCCATATATCTCCCAAGAACAAAGGCATGTTGAAGTTCTGTAATGAGAAGTGGTAAAGACCCCTTCATACGATTTACCATGCATTTGGTTATGCATTTATATATCATGTTACATAAGCTTATAGGACGGAAGTGGGCTGCTATTTCCAGAAATTGAACCTTGGGTAGCATAATAAGCAGCGAGGCATTAAGTTCCTTTAACAGAAACCCCGTCTTGAAGAAATGTTGGACCGCCTCGACCACCGAGGTCCCAACTATCTGCCAGTGCACATGAAAGAACTCAGCAATGATCCCGTCCGGACCCGGGAATTTTAAATGGTGAATTGAGAACATCGCATTTTTAATTTCTAGATAGGAGAAGGGCCTAATCATTGCAGCCGCTTCCCTATCATCTAGCTGTGGGAAAGACATCTCACAGAAAAGGAGGTCAATATCATCCTCTAAGCTTTCACTTAGTCCCATGTCTAGATTAAACACCTTTTTAAGGGAGTCTTGAATCAGAGAAGCTACCTGATCTTGCCCTGTAACCCATATATCATCATCATTACGAAGAGTGATAATTTCTCGTTTTTTTTGTTTTTGTTTGACTCTATTATAAAGCATTGGCGAAGGCATATCTCCTTCCCTAACCCACTTCTCTTTAAGGCGTTGTTGCCAATAGTGAAAATCCAAAGCACAATTCGGAATTAACTCATTCACCCCAAGAACATATTCCTCCCCTTCTCTTATTGAAGTTACAACTTCCCCTTGTCGTGCTAGATTATTCGAAACACTTCTCCAATTTACCCCCCAAACAGTTTTATTATCCAAACACCACTTCTGAGCCTTATCCCGAAACGATCTCAAGTGGCTTGCCAACATAAACATGCTTGAACCATTAATTTTTCTCATCCAAATATCCAAAGTTAACACCTTTATCTCATTAAATCGAAGGCACCATCTCTCCAATTGGTACGGCCTATTTGCCTTGGGTATTGAAGGTTCCGAGTCATATAAAATTACAGCATGATCTGAAACTGTAATCGGCTCATGGAAGACACGACCAACAATATATTATAAAATGTCATTTGTTATGTTATATATTGGTAAATTAATCAAGTCAAAACCATTATGTAAATAGTGAAAAAAGTCATACTGTAACCTTTATTAAAGCACGGAGGGAGTAATAATCATTGAGAGGATATAATCAACATTAAGGTGATGAAAATATGTAGTCCATTTAGTTGCAGTAGACTTTTTTTGTAATAAAATGAAAAAAACTTGAGCACAACACTCTAAAGTAAAGCATGGGTGCACCGTGTACCCCAAACCCTGTCTAGTAGCAGACACCCCATTAACTATTGACTTAGGCGTGCAACTTGCGTCATCTACTAGTAGTTGTTTTTTATTGTAAAAAAAACAAAAAAAAAAAAAAAAAAAAAAAAAAAAAAAAAAAAAAAACCAATTAATAGCATGTGTTGCACCTCAATCAATAGTTGGTGTGTGACTAGTAAGTATTACCCACTAACAGGTAGGGACTAGTACTTGTCCATACCATAGTATAATATTATTTTCTAAATGAATTTTTAATGTAAATTGAATAAAAAAAGGAAAAAGTGGGTAAAAAAGAAACATAACCCAAAAATCTAGGAGTGAGGGTGAGGCTATGGAGTATTCTTCTTTGCCGGAGTATACTTATCAACCGGAGTTACATTACTCTTCAAGTCTTCATCCACGAGGAGCGGTGTTCTACCAGCGTAGCAAATTGTGTGGTTGATTAAAATACAAAAGGTTATGTGGATTTTAATTGATGAAAGGTAGTATAGTCGGACGCCGGCGAAGGATTTTCAAGGTCTTTAAACATTTGTTACTTTAATCACGAGATCGACGATGAATTTTCCACCGGAGTGCAAATTTACTACTTCAACCATGAAAAACGGCGAGTTCTGTGCTAGAACTGTTGAAATTTGGAATAATTTGGATGTGAGAATGTTGAAGTCGACGACATTAATTGTTTGTCGGTGCTCAGTTATTATTAACGTATATACTGTTATTTTTATTTGTATGTTGTTATCTAATGGTTTCATACTGTTATTGTACACTGTACTTGATGAAGACGAAAACGAAGAGATGATGGTGATGGTGATTTTCTCTCTCCTCTCACTCAAAGGTTTTTTAATTGGTTTTCCGGTGAAAATTTCGCCGAATTATAAACTTTACGACTACCATCACCAACACCTTTCCGATGAGAATTTTAAAAAAAATAAAATAAAGGTTTTCCGGTGAGCATTCTGGTGGAAAAAGAGGAGAGAGGGGAAAAGAGAGTTTTTTTTTACCGCTTAGTAACAAATGAGTTACTGTCTAAGAATTTACATGAAATTTCATTTTTTCCCTAGGTATGGACCAAGGGAGCCCAGACCTGGTAGTGATCTATCACTACTCGTGTGTGACTCTATTCAATGTTTGGGGTGCTTGATGCACCTATGCTATGTATCAAGGTGTTGAGGTCAATTTTGCATGATAAAATTAATAAGCATAATGGTTGTTTTCTTTTTCTTTTTACTTATATATTTATGTCTACTTGTACTTCCTGTATGGAGTTTTCAAGCTTTTAATATTAATATCCATAGGCAAAGCACTCCTTGTTAAAACCCTATATCTCCGATGTTAAAGAATCATAATGAAATAATACTAATATAATTGTACAGATTTAGATTATTACCTTGTAGTAAATTACGCTTAGCTGCTCTTTTCCTTCTCGCGGGAACACCAATACCCTTTTTCTTTCGCTCATCTTGCCAATTCTCGATTTTCAATTCCTTGCATTTCCTCTTTAGGGTGGATTTTGAAACTGCATAACAGAATGCAATTGCATCTATTAGTATTAAACATTGTAGAAACTAGAAAGATACCACATAAATTGATGACATAGACCTTTGAATGGTAAAGAGGATTAATGAGCCTAAAAACATTCAAAATGGTATTTGTTAATGCCATCAATGACTAGACACTTATTGATTAGAAATTGTTATGGGACCAACTCAACTAAATATTTAAGTCAATGAAGTTCAAGATTAGTTTATATACTCTATCACGTCCCTTCACATGATTAAAAGCCTTATAGGCTTAAAATGTGGATATAGGGAGATATGGTAGATGAGATTTGAACCTGTGACATTTGTAGCACACTATCACATTGGCATTAATTATACATGTTAATTGACTAACTCAACCAATAAGTTTAAGCTGAAAGTTGTAGCCATGATGAGTTTATATACACTATGAGACAACCTGCTTAATATCTAGTTAGAGCTTAGAGATATATAAATACTTACTTCCAAGGTCATTGGCTGCATCATTTAATGTTCCTTTGAGATACGGCTCCAAATCTTCCTTGGACAAATTATTGCATCTTTTCTTCCTAGATTTTTTTATAACTTTACATTGGACAACTTCAATTCCTGGATTATTGATGGACTTGTGATCTTGATGATCAATGAACATATTTGAAGAAATTTCCTCTGGTAATACCAAGCTGACTTCAGTTTGCTCTTCCCCTGTCATGACTGTATTCGATAAGAACGTAAAATCGTCTCTAATACCCTCACCACCGATAAGTTTTGTGCGGTAACGAACTTGCTCCGTCTCTGCCTCCAACTCTTCATAAGTAGGCGAAACCATGTTTAACTTATCAAATTGTTGTTTCATTGATGATGTAACGGACAAGACCTTTAGATCATCATTTTCTATTGTATTTTTCAAGGTTCTTTGCCAAAAGAATTGCACGATATAGAAATCATTGTTTGCGTATGCACTCCCTAAGCAAATAGCCAAGGAGCAATTAATCTTAAATTGACGTGACAAAGGCACCAAGGCGAAGTTGTCCGGAAACCGGGTGATATCTCTACAAAAACACAACCCTTTTGATGAAAATGTCGTGCCAGCGACCGCCTGTCCTTCAGCCATGTGATACATGGCACCAGCTCTCCAAAAGGGGAAATAGGAAGAGTCCCTCATGTAAAACGGCAACTCTGCATTTGACATGCAGAGTTTCTGTGAATTGCAGTTTTGGTCAGGACATGTACAAGGCATCCAAGTCTGTGCTAGAGGCAAATCATGATCTTTGCATACTTTGATCATCACTTTTGAAATCTCTGCTAGCAATCTTTGCCGAGGTTGGTAGTGAAACTGTAAATGAAACATATATATTGAGCTACGATATTAAATATTAGCTCAAAAAATCATTTTTTATGAGCTTGTTTTATGTAAATGACATAATAAGCTCAAAAGGAGAGTCTTACCTGTGTGTCTGCACGAAGGTTTACTGCCTGTAAAAGATTAAACATTATCAATTTGATCATATTGGTAAGATAATTTTTACAATTATTTAATCTAATTATAGTTGTGATGAAAACAATTCGACACGTTCCATCATGTTTAGTTGCGAATGTATGAGTTCATATTGACATATTGTCACATCATCATTTAAACATTCAATAGAACACTTAAAATGTCAGCATACAAATTGTTCCCTTCATTTAAGACATGCATCTACAAAATATTTTGCACAACATTATATTTTCATTCCATGTGTCCTCGAACGTTATCCAAATTTGAGTTATCTTATACTTCCTCTGTTAAATATTAATTGCAACAAAGAAACTTAAAATATTTCTTCTTTATTGAAATTAATATTTAACAGAGGAAGTATATAACTTTGGAACATTTATCCCACAATAGTACATTAGTAGATGCAAACAAAAAAAATCTTAAAACACAGGGTAACTAATGGATTTGGAACACATCTCTCTTCAACACATTACTGGCTTTGTCCCATTTGAATTGTCCCATTTTGACCAAAAAGTTCTAACTAATGAGACAGTAGGATATGATAAGATGATTTAGAAATAATAGAAGAAAACTTATTAGGATACGCATAAATGAAATGAGTCTAACCTTAAGAAGATTGCAGATTATATCAATGATCACAAGGTCAACTTCAGTAGATGCAACTACAACTTCATAAACTCCAACACATTGGTTAGTATAAGGATCAAACACAGGTATCGCCAAAGTTCCACATATGATATAATTTTCCTTGGTAATACTTGGTTTCGGACTATTTTGATGATGGGACTTGTATATATGCAAATTAGGCGCCCATTGAGGACACCTTAGCTGATATGCAGTGACTGAAACCTGCCTATTTAGGAGACATGTCACATCTTCCATAGTAGACAAGTACGGGATGAGGGTGTCAATGATGTTAAATGACCTACCGGTTTTACTGTTTTTATCAGAGGAATAAACTCTGGTTAACGATTCACACAAGTATCCCTCGGTCACATCTCGCATGAACCGTTTATCTTCGGTCCATGAACCAGGTATGTTGTGCTGTGAAGATCTTAGCACATTTGTCTTGACAATTTTTGTTGGAAACCATAATTGAGCAGCTACAATTTGATTAGTCTTTAATTTTGGTTTGAAATCCAAAAGTGTTTTCTCCAAGTTTTGTTCAGCGAGAAGCTTAACTGCAAGATTATAATATATAATTAAAATAAGAACTGCACAACAAAAGCAGAACTTCTAATGTAAACTGATCTGATCAAGTTTGCACATTAGAAGGTAGGTACAGCTAAAAACTATTGTGGCTCATTTGTATGTTTAAAAGTCCGAAAAACAACGAAAATACCATTTCAAATAAATAATAAAATAATATTGAACATAGAAGTATATGTACCAAATGGAAGTAAAAAGGTAAATACAAAAACAAATACATAGGCCATGTTTGGTAAAGAGAGAATTGATTGAATTTTAGCGTTTTGGGAGTAATTAAGTGGTTTGATAACAAAAATTGGTAAATTATTTTCAGTGTTTAAAAAATTGATGATTTAAAAAAGGTAATGCTTGTATTTGAAAACGGCTTTAACCTGGTTTTTGTAAGAGTTCGTTCATTTTGTCAAAAAAAAAAAAAAAAAAAAAAAAGGAGTTCTTTCATCAATAGCATCTAATGTAAGTATGTAACTATCTAGTCTCCCCTTAGAAAAAAATAATAATTATAAATTAAAAAAATGTGAGCAGCTAGTCAGTTAGCTAATAAAATCAGCTTTATCAACCAACTACTAAAAAGTAACAAAGAAGATATAATAAACTTATTTAACAATAAATTGGTTAGTAAGACTATTTACCAAATGGTTAAATATTTTATTTAAAGAACAATGCTATAAAAATATACAAGTATAATTTTTCATTATGCTACCTGAAGCTGAAGGACTAGTGAAGTAGTGATAGTTCAATGAAGTTTATTAAATATTTAAGTTGGCAGTTGTTAGTGTTCGGTATCCTAGATAGAAGGTTTGCATACATATAAATATAACATTTTTTTGGGCACTAGAGCAAGTACAAAATGGAAATCAATTACATGGCCTATTTACTGCCTTCGTCGTTCCAAATAACCGACATAATGTCCGTTATTTTACTAACAATTATCATTATCTATCATCTTAAATTTTCGTTATTTTGGGGTAATTTAGTTTAGTGAGTTCACTAAACTGAACAAGAAAGTATTAGTACAAAATCCCATACGATACAGGTTTATATGAGTATTATAGATACATATCCCATACCAATCTAGAATTATATGATAAATTAGGGTCGTTTTTGACATGAGTGGAATGGATTAGGAAACATATAGAATCATATGCTGAGATATAGATTTGAGAGTTTAGGGGCGGGGTGGGGTGAAGTTAGATAGCAAACAAAAGGATATATTAAAGCCAAAGTTGTGTTAACATTATTTAAGTAGAAATTCGAAATATATGTTTTGAACATCGTTTAACAAACTTTTACCTTACCTTATTTTAATTTATTCTATACTTAAGAAAATTGAGGGTTGAAAAAGGGTCATAAATTTATTTAGCTTAGATAATTTGGTAATTTAAGGCTATCTAATTCAATATACAATTAAAAAGAATTTTGATAGATTAAGCTCAAACATATTTACATAAATAAAATTCAACTGAATGAATATAGCAGACTCTTAGCTGCTTATTCGAGTGCACATATCCCACTTTGAAAGTTTCATATAATACTAATACACAATTAAGTTTGATTATTTAATATAAAAACATTTGGTCAAATTTGTACCATTATATGATCATTGTATAAAAGCCAATGGATTAATAATTGGTCATAATATTAATAATCAAAACTTAATAAACGATTATATGTTTTGTTCTACTTACTTTTTCTTACACAAGCTCGGCTTACAAAATCATCTATTCTACTTTTTCCTGAGCAAGAATCTTTCCTACCATTTTTGATCTATGCTATTTTTTAACCTATAGCAAACCAATAAATTATTATCAATCATGCCCTAGATAAGATAAAAAAAAATATAAAAAAAATAAAAATAAAAATACATAAAATCTCTTCATTACAAACAATGTAAACACTAGATAAATCATAAACAAGTATTCATCAGAAAATTTTTAATGAATAAATTGAGGGAAAATAATATCATAGGATGAGAATATCTTTAAAAAGTTTTGATCATCAACATACAATAAATCTATCAGCCTATCACTATTGGCTTGTGTTTTGTTTGTATCTACTTCACATATTCATTTTCATATTTTATCATTATTATATCGGTGGGTTTTACTAGGAGACAATTTATTATTTGATTGACGAATAAAATTTCATATTTGCCCATATATTAGGGTTTATTTTATATAGCCTATCAAAGCATTATCATAAAAACTATCAATGTAATGATATTAATTAATAGCACAAATGAACCAATGAAACCACAACTTTGAAACTAAGTGATAAAGCTTACCATTACCGGAGCCATCGTCGTTGACTTGGTCAATAAAGTTAGAAACCGGCGAAAAGGGCAGAACTAGCTCTTCAGGAAGCGAAACAGTGGGTGTTGGCTCGTCAACTCTGCCAAAGGTTCCCAAGGCTTCATCGTTTTCGACTTTAATCACATACAAACAAAACAACAAGAATTCGTCAGCTTTGATTTAATTGTCATGCTGCTAGTTTAAATAACACTATCTATCAGCACGATAAGAACTAAACACGTAAAGAAAAAAAAAAACCCAAAAATCTAAATAAACCATGAAATGAAAGAAGAAGTCTATCTTACCACTGGAATCATTGTTTGAGAAAGAATCAACCATCATCCAAGAAGGAAATTGGGGATCGGATGAGGGATAAGAGGTAAAGATCCCATCGGGCACCGGCTCGAGCATGAGCTCTTGTGTGAGCAACATCTTGATGTTGTGAAATGTTTCTAGGAGCACTTGCTATAGTCAAAAGATGTAAGAAAAGCAGTGGAGTAGTGTTCATTTTAGAGCATAAATCAAAGAAGAGGGTCATTTATGTGAGGAAGATTAAATGAACCCTCTTAAGTCACAATCAATTAAGGTGATGTAAAAGTTTGAAATTTGTGATCGTCGATCACTTGTCCTCCTATGTCCAGATGGGGTGATCTGAGAAAGATTAAGAAAAGTTCAACTTCGACGGCTTGATTATAATATGATTTGGATTATATGATTGTTTGGATTAGGAACTATATTCTATATCTTTTCTAATGTTTAGTAATTAAACCTTAATCAGTGTCCTAAAGGTGGTAATTAATTCATTATGGGTTGTGGACGTTACGGCCTTTATGAGTTTATTTGTTAATGGGTACCCAAATGCAAAAATGGCGTTATTTACAACGATTGGAGCATGACGTGGCTTCTTGGGTTGTTAAACTCATATTTGTGACATTGACATTGTATATAGGGCTTACAATAAGATAATAGACCAAAAATATGTGTATGTTACAATTTGTAGGGCCAAATTACCTACTAAGATGAGACACACGTGTGAATTTAGACATATGGATTGCATTTTACCTTAATCTTACAAAACTAGACAAGGAGTTGTCAATAAGTTTTAGCAATTTGTTAATCATTTTAATAGATACGAGGAATAAATAAGTATACAAATATAAGTAAGGACTTTTTGTCAGAAATTACCTTTTAAAAGCAATTTTTTTGTGAGAAACTATCTAATAAAAACAAATATTGTAAGAAGCAACCCAATTTGGGTATTTCTACCACGTCACATGGCTCAATGAGAGCATGACACATGTCACCTGAAAAGGTCTCCAAACGGACCTCCTAGGGGTTGACACGTGTCAAGAAGATACGCCCTCAGGTTTTGGCGTCTTCAAGGCCCAATTCCCGAGGTAGTAGCAAAACGGTGCAGCCCGAATCCCTAGGCCATCAAACCTTAATTAGGGCATGGCACACCTTTCGAGGATCCTATAAATAGGGAGATTTCCCCAATTATTGGGGCACCTAACTTTTTACAATTATTACATCATTTATTACTCTTGAAAAAAGAGAAAACACCTGATCTCGGAATCGGAGAAGATATTTATTTTCCGCACGTTTTTACTCTAATCCCGTACTAACTTAACCATCAGAGGAGGACCTCTGAACATCTGGAGCTCCGTTGTTTTGCAGGTACTGGCGGCTTAATTGGATCCAGTCTGTGAGCTGTAACTCTCCCAAGGGATACAAAAAACCCCGAAATATTTGGCGCCGTCTGTGGGGAGAGTACCTCAAATATTGTTTCACAAGAACCTATACTGCCTCTAGAAACCAACCGCCCTCCGGTTGATGGAGAGGTCCATACGGATCATGACACTAATAACTGAAAGGAATAGTCACTAGTAGAAAAATACAAAAAGGCAACCCCCAAATGGCACCGGTTCAGACCAAACCGGTGCCAAAAACCGCCCTAAAAATGGGCGGTATTTTAGACCAAGAGTAATGGCGTCGGTTCAGACCAAACCGGTGCCAAAAATACAAAGGGCACCGGTTTGGTCTGAACCGGTGCCATTTGGGGGTTGCCTTTTAGACCAAGAGTAATGGCGCCGGTTCAGACCAAACCGGTGCCAAAAATACAAAGGGCACCGGTTTGCCACTGAACCGGTCCAAGGTTTTTAGGAAAAACCGGAAAATTTAAACCCTAAAACCCTTATAAGCTTCGATCTCCTTATCTCTCCTCCTTCTCTCCGCCTCCATTCCCCCATTTCATCTCCTCTACTTCTCTCTCCTCCTTCTCTCTCCTCTCTCTCTCTTCGTTCTTCTTTCTTCTTTCATCTCCTTGATCTCCTCTCTCTATTCGTTCTTCTTTAATTAGTCTTTCAACTCCCTTTGATCTCCTCTCATATATATGCAGCAACCAAAGCTCGAGGACAGCCGATCTCCTCTCATTAGCGCAACAACAGCCGCCGCCACCACCACAATGTTCAAGCACCACCACCGGCATCAACATCAACAACAATTTCTGGGATTTTTTTTCAAGTTCTGGCTTTTTTTTCGATTTTAATAGTTTTTGTTTTCGATTCACCAATTTTGGTTTCGTTTTCGATTCACCAATTTTGGTTTTTGATTTTGGTTTTGGTTTTTGATTTTGATTTTCGATTTTGGTTTTTATTTTGGATTTCGTTTTTAGGGTTTCGATTTTAATTTGCCTTTTATTTTGGATTTTGGTTTTTTTTCCTATTTGTTTTTCGTATTTGTTTTTTTTTTTCCGATTTTGATTTTGTTTTTTTCGAATTTTTGGTTTCTTTTTTTCGATTTCAATTTTGGTTTTTTTTTTGGTTTTTGATTTTGATTTTGGTTTTCGATTTTGGTTTTTATTTTGGATTTCGTTTTTAGGGTTTCGATTTTAATTTTCCTTTTACTTTGGATTTTGGTTTTTTTTCCTATTTTTTTTCGTATTTGTTTTTTTTTTCGATTTTGTTTTTTTTTTTTCGAATTTTTGGTTTCTTTTTTCGATTTCAATTTTGGTTTTTTTATTCGTTTTTGATAATTTTTTATATTTCAATTTCAATTTCTGTTTTATATTTTATATTTTATATTTTGATAATTTTGGTTTTTTTTTTTTTTGTTTTTGATAATTTTTTATATTTCGATTTCAATTTCTGTTTTATATTTTATGTTTTGATAATTTTGGTTTTTTTTTTCGTTTTTGATAATTTTTTAATTTTTTGATAATTTTTATATATTCTTAAGCTTATTTTTACCAATTGATTTTTTTTCTGTTTTAATTAGTGTGTACAGATTATGCAAGAATATTGATATGTTCATGTTGTAATTTTTTTTATGATTTATAATGTAATTTTTTTTATTTATTTATAATGTTAGTTGTAATTGATCTATATTGTAATTTTGGATTTCATTATGTATTGTAAATTTTGGATTATATATATTGAAACCAATTCAATTTTTGCTGTGAATTGTTATTTTTTTTTCAGTTGATTTTATTGGTAAGTGAAAAAAAACCAAAAAAAAAAATAAAAATAAAAATGGACATTTTTGGCCCCGGTTAACCGGTGCCAAAAGAAGGATAAATATTTTTTTTTTAGTATTTTTGGCACCAGTTAACCGGTGCCAAAACCTGTTTATGGCACCGGTTTTGAACCGGTGCCAAATAGAGGGGTATTTGGCACCCCCCACATAGGCACGGGTTCAAACCGGTGCCTTAGGCCGGGTTTGAACCGGTACCAAATGCGTTTTTTCACGTACTGAGTGTCCTTCGAACAAGTGTATTATTCTAATAGTGGTTTTAGAATTGTTAGAAAGCTAATACATTCTGTAAGGTCAAGTGATTGGAATTCCTGGGTGGAGGCCGCTTCCGATCAGTAATATTAATGCATAATTAATATTACAGCTTAATATTGATTGAACCATTTGGGTCACACCCAAGCAACCAACGAGCCGAAGCGACGAATTAATTCGGAAGGAATTAATGAGTCCACCGAGTAATATTTATTTAGATGTCGAAAATTCGAGCTTAGAGCATCAAAACCGAGCGTCGGAAGTCAAGTCCAAAATAGTAAAAGACAAGACGTGCAAATAGTAATAAATCGACGTATTTCCCGATATACTCCTAGCATCGCAGTGCCTCGTGCAATCCAAGTGCTAGGGGCACAATGTGTAGCATGGTGGTTAGCATGCGCACCAAGCCGAGCCTTGGCTGGCTAGTGCGTGCTAGCGCATGCTAGCAACCAAGTGCACGCAGAAGGCAAGCCTCGGCACCAAGCCTCCGTAGCATCCCGCACTTGGAGTGCGCGGCTTGTTGGTTGAGGGCAGCAGCTTCCCGCAACTCATGGGTGTGGGTGGCTGGGTCGAGACTAAGGGAGGAACAAAAGGAAGCCCACTTGGGTGCCTTGGTGCCCAAGTGGGAGTAGACATGTGGCGCAAGGTGAGGGAGAGAGTGGGGAGGAAGTTTGGTCCCCCACTCTCCAAGTGGTCCTTACTTGCTCTCTCATGTATAGTTGACACTTGTTGATTTATTACTAGCTTGCTTAAATAATTTTATTTTACCTTTAAAATAAAATGTGAAAATCTCATTATCCCACATTTATGGGAGAGACAACCATACTCTCATCTTTTCCTATAAATACCCATGTAAGGGCATTGAAAATGATGCTTGAGTAAGAGTTGGAAAAGGGATCACTAGTAGTGAAAACCTTTGAACAAAAGAGTTGGAAAAGGTATCACATTTTGTGAAAGCCTTTGAACTCAATTACTCGGGTTTATCGATCGGGTCTTGCTAACCCCAAGACATTTAACCTAGTCGGTGATTGTTGTTGCGGGTTGATCATCGTTGGAGGCTTCGTAATTTCGAAGCTTGCTTTCAAGTAAGAGCCCAAGCGGTCGGGCGAAGCACGCTCTAAAGGTAATCTTATTATCTTAATCTTGTTATTAAGTTAATTATGTTTATGGTTTTATTTATTGCAAGTGCGGTCTTGTTTTTGGGTTTGTTTCCGCGCTGAGTCGGACTTACCAAACCCCAATAGCGGTGTCGGAGCCTCGCTCGTTTATTTTTAAAACCATAATATTTTTCAAGGTGTTTTTATGGCTTAATTTTTTCTGGTTTTAAGTTGCTAATTAAATTAGTAGCTCGTTTTGTCCATTTTAACCTCGTATTAGAGCTGACTTCAGCTCTCGAACCCAGATTTCGACCAAAAAATAGTGAATTTTGGGTGAAAAAGGCGTTCTGGAAATGGTTTTATCCTTATAGCTTTCGGTTTTTAGCCAAAAAACGACCAAAAATGCACTTTTCGAGGGGGTTTTCGTTTTTATGAAAAATTTTAAGTCTTTCTAACCTTGAAAATTAATTGAATATATATGGTGGTTATGTAATTGGTTCAATACATATTTTATATGCAATTTTAAACCTCTTTAGGCATGATTACTTGGTGGTAATTTGTGTTTGAAAGCTTGGTTTTATTTTTCACATAATTGCAAATTAATTGCATTCAGTGTGAAATTGTTGTTCTTTGAGACTTCTAAGTACTAAAGATTCAATCTATAATTATGTTAAGTGATTGAAACTTTGAGTTACTAAATTCCTTGAATTTTTGTTGAACTTCGTTGATTTAATCATTTTTTAGTTGATTGGAATCATAAAGTTTGCAACTTGTGATAGAAATTTGTTCATCTTCATATTGGAAGATATAATTTTTCAAGGATTCACAAGTATTAAAGTGTAGGGAATATTTCAAGCATTACCCCAAACTTGAACCCCACTATGATCATACACTTAAGCATGGTAGTGTCCAAAGGGAAAGAAGATAGAGCAAAAGAGTCGCCAACAAGTTTTAGGAACTTGTAAACCGTTCACGAGGTGAAGATTACACCCCTTAACGATTCAGGAGATCGTCAAATCCAATAGGTCTGGAACCATGACTGGTAGTTTGGGGATGAAGGTACAAATCCAACCTAAAAGAGATTGAACCTCCCCTAATAATAGGCCTCTACTTTATTCTGATTGTATTCATGTGCGCTTTCTGACTAACATGCAATCAATAGGATTAACCCTAAACCTGTTTATCTAT